AATGCACACTATATTATATATATTAAATAATTTAATATATTTTACTCTTTATATAAATAAATATTATATATAATTTTATTAATATAAATAATAATTATAAAATATTTTTTAATATATTTACTATTAAATCGGATATAAATATAATTTCAAAATAAAAAAAATATTTATCTGTATTGATAATATAAAATTTATATAAATTCAATATAATATTAAATAAATAAGTTTAAATAACTTTTTTTAAAAAATAATTTGATTAAACTAATTATTAAAAATTTAAAATTTTTATAAAATATATAAACATATAATAATTAAAATATATCAACAATTAAAAAAAATATCTTTATTAAAGATATAAATAAAATAAAAAATTCAAAACGTAAATTTTAACGAATTGAATCCATAGCATATCGACTTCAGAAGTGATACAGTGACATACCCTACACTAAAAATGAGAGAATCCATGTACACCGCAAAAGTAGGTGATGATGTGTATAACGATGATCCAGCAGTATAAGAACTTTAAGACTATGCAGCAAAGCTTATTGGTAAAGAAAGTGCATTATTTGTTCCTTCTGGTTGTTTAGGTAATACATGTTGTCTAATGGGTTAATCTTCTCGAGAGAAGAACTTATTTTATCTTCTGAATGCCATATAGTATTACATGAAAGAAGTACTGCAGCCTAAATATGTTTATTATAATTAAGATAAATTGATACAAAAAATACAAACGGGTTAATGAGTTTAAATGATATAAAAAAAAATGTACGAAAGATGCCTTTATTTCTAACGAACCCAAAAACAGGAATTATATGTGTTGAATAGCCTACCTTTTAAGGAAAAGTATATTCTTTAGAACATTTAAAAGAAATATATGAATTAGCGCAAAAAAATGAAATAAAAGTACATATGGATGGTGCTAGGATTTTTAATGCGGCTACATATTTAAATGTGGATGTCAAAGAAATAACAAAATATTGTGATACTATTTAATTTAGTTTAAGTAAAGGATTATGTGCACCTGTTGGGTCCATTATTGCCGGTTCAGAATAGTTTATTTAGAAAGCTATGGAGATTAGAAAACTTTTGGGTGGCGGATTGAGGCAGGTTGGGGTTGTTGCAGCACCAGGATTGGTTGCTCTGAAAGAATAAATAAAGTTTTAAAAAAAGATTGGAATATGGCGGTTTTAATTGCTAATAAATTAAAAGAAGAGCTTATTGATTTAGTGGAAGTTGTTAGAAGTGATATTTGTATTAATATTGTGTATTATAAGGTAAAGACGTAAGGTTTTCCACACGGGGAGTTTATAAAATAATTTGTTGGGGAAAAATATAAAAATTAGCGGACCAAATGATGAGGGTGTCTGTAGATTAATGACACATTTTTATATTAATTAATAAGAAGTTGATATTTTAATTAAATGTATGAAAGAGTTTTTGGAAAGATTTTAATGAAATTGTTTCAATATATTTTATAAATAAAATATTTAAATATTTTTATAATATCTATAATATATGTTTTAAACTTCAACATTTACATATATAAATTATAATTATATTAAATATAATATTATAAAATTTAATAGGATTATTAATAATATTACATATTCAATAATAAGATTTTTTTTTTAATTATATTATTTTATTATATCATCAGAATTTTCTTCTTTCAGGATATCACTTATATTTTCTTTTATATTTGTGAAAATTTAAAATTTTTCTGTAATATGTTGTAACTTCTTATAATATATATTTAAAGATAAGGTTGTTTTATAATTTATATAATTGGGGAATCTACTGCTTATTTTATAGTTAAATTTAATGATTTAGAATTATCCAAACAAATTATAATATTTCTTTATTCTGTTTGCTTGATAAAGGAAAATTTTGAATTTTCTTATACTATATATAAATAATTATTTAGTTTTTAAATATATTTATAATTATTAAAATATATATATTCGGTAAATATTATAATCAAATGTATTTATTGCACTGTTTCCAAATTATAAAGCAAATAAAACCTAACTAATTTATTTAATAAATCAATTTTAAATAAAGAAATTTTTTATAATATATTTATTGATATAAAAAAAATATCTTTAAATTTAAATAATTAGAAAAATTATTATTAAAAAATATTTGTCTTTATATAATAAAAAATAAATAAATACTATAATAAATTTAAAAAATATAATTAAATTTTATTTTATTTTTAAAAAAAACAGTTAATAAAATTAATATTTTTATTAAATAAAGAATTATAAATAATTTATTAAATATACAATAACTAAATAAAATAATATAATAAAAATATTTATTATAAATAATTATATTTTTTTTTATAAAAATATGAATCATAATAATTAAAATTGATAAAAATTATAGAAACTATAATTCATTAAATGAATAAAATATATATATTTCAAATAATAACAAAAAAAATATAATTTATTTTAATTTTACATTTAAATAAATTATATATTTTAATTAATATTATAATTTTAATTTTTATTAAAAAATAGTTATAAAAGTTAAGTTTTATAATTATATATTTTTTCTAATTTTTTTTGAATAAAAATTACAAATGATAACAAATCGAAAAAAATCTTTAATAGTATTAAAAAGATAGATGTTATTTCTGATAGATATCATAAAGATAAAATTATTATATCATAGAAAAAAAATTATACTAAAAATATATTTATATAATTTGAATAAGAATAAAGGGATTTATTTTAAAAAAATATATATTATATATGTAATAAATAAATTTTTTATAAATATAATAAATTAAAATTTAATTATTTATAATAAATAATGAAATTAATTATAAAATATATATATATATATATAAATTATATATTTATATATATATATTTTTATATATATATAATAAATTTTTTTATTTATATAATTTTATTTTAATATTAAATATGTTTGGTTTGGATATTATAGTTAGAAGGGTTTGTGTTTAGGGTTGGGTGTTTGGGGTTGGGGTTGGGGTTGGGGTTGGG